AATGGAAACTGGGGTAATATAGGGGCTTAAGGAGCTTAAATGAAGTTACTATATTGGGGAAACCCTATTGTTTACTATATATACCCATTATGGTAACTTAATTTGGGCTTCCCAGCAACTGGCTCCAAATTATTGATGTAGAGGTACCAAAAACGAGCATTTGTCTAGGTTACAGCAATCCAGCTCAAGTTGTGCCCTCCCGATGCTTCCTGCATTTCGGGAAGTATGTGTAGTCATTAAAGTGAGTCTGGGAGGCCTATCAGTCTGGACTAGATTCACGAACAGGCCCTCAGCCCCCGGTGCATGGGCTCACAACTCCTCATGCCCCTGTTAGGCCTTGTTAGGCCCTACCAGGGTAGCTGAGAGGGACTTCTCGTCCTGATCTAGTTCCCGAAGAGGTGACCCAACCGCACAAGCATGATAACACGTGTGACTTTTGGCTTCGCCCTGTTCAAAATCGTCTCCGCGGCCCGGTGAGGACGACGATACAATTTGCAGATAACTTTGCTCTGTTGGCCTCCTGCATTGGAGAAGCCTCACCCAAAATGCTAGCATCAGTGCAATTAAGAGAACCAACCAATTGCTTCTAGCAACATATTCTTAGAATTGTTGACAGCCGCGTCCCTTGAAGTTCTGCCTATTCTTGAGGATCTATGCCGGCATCTCTTTCCTGGGTCGACCGATAAAAGTGCACAGCCTGGTTTTGAAGCTCATGTTTGAGATCCATATGTTGCTCCTATTCATGACTGCAGGGGTTATTGAGAGCACGAGTAGATTAACAAACAATGATGACCATAGTATGTATCGACAGCAAACACACCATGAAATTCGATTTAATGTGTCTCATTAATGTCAAAACTGCGATGCTTACCAATCTGAGGCCGTACCCGGCTGGGGCGTTGAAGCCTTTGGGCTCAGGGTTGGGACCTTGGCAACTGGACAAGGCGTCGTGGTGTTGCCATTCTGTGGTAGGGTCCGGCGGCAGTAGAATGAAACGTAAATGTGGGCATGTCACGTTCGTTACATTCTGTTCAAGGGAGCAAGGCATCTTCTTGGTAAACATTTCCTTTCGGCAAGTGCAGCACGTGCGCCTTTGCGTGGGAGTTCAAGCTGAGCAAGCTGATTCCAAAAGTGTGCTGGCTGGAGCGGCTGCCTATATGTTGCCATGGAGTTCGCCCCAAACACCGGCCTTCGCAAAGGGCCAAGATACTATTGATGTGCTGGGTGCGGCGGCCGATCGTGATGCCAAAACGTTTGAGCCTGGTTTGAGCTGTGGGCAACAGCACGCTTGACTTCCCGGATGTTGCGCAAAGGTGCTTGTCGGGGGAATACCAGACCACCGCAGGATGCCTTGCGTAATTGCTTCATCGAGGGGCCCCAACAGCTTGCCACACGCGTTGCACACTTTAACCCTGCTAGAACAGGTTTTCTCACGATGTTTTGGCTTTCAGAAGTTTATGCCGGAGTTCGGGGTGTCCTTGCATTTCTTGGTGTGCTGTTGGCAGACTTTTCATCCCATCTTCCAACCCATCGCAGGCACTTGCCGCGATCGCCACTGCATTCACGCAATACTGGCAAAGATTCTCGCGGCGCTTTTGGCTGCTTTTGTTCATTGGCTCAGAGCTTTTAAGACTTGCCAACAATTGGAAAACGAAAGCTATAAATAGTAGCTTCCGTTCTCTGTTCCATTATCCCTATATAACCCTTGTATTTTGGGTTAGAGGGGTTAGAACGGTTCCGCTGAGACGGCTGGCGCTGGACAAAGTCCCATGTTCAGCTCACCTTGACGTGTTGGCCCTGCGAGCTGCTGAGCTGTCCGGTTTGCATGATTGCCCGGACAGTATATGGGCTAGAGTCTAACTTCCTTCAAGGGGGTTATGGGGGGGATATAGGGGGGTTCTATGGGGGAGTAGTATAGGCGTCATTAAGGGGGTACTAGGAGTTTAAATTATAGCTTATATGTGAAAGACAACTGTGCATAGCGGCTTACGCGCAAATAGCTCGCCCAGCATGTCTGGACATGTCTGCTGCCCTGTAGTGTTTTGGCGGCACCATTCAGCACTTTCAGCGCAAACAGACTTCCACCGGACAAGAAACACAAGGCCATAAGACCCCAATCGATCAAACTGTCTATGTGCTTTAACCTGGCGGGCCCGGAACACTTCCTCCAGCAATTCCGCAATCAAAGATATTTCTCTCGCTTGTGGGTTGTTTTTGCACTCCGGGTAGT